ATAGCATAACCATACAAATTTACACAATCTAAATAAACTAAGAAAGAATTTGGATCTTCTTCATTAAAATTTGGTAAGTATTTGTTATTAGCCTTTGCATACCTTAACGAGCATTGAGATAGCCCTACCTCTCCCTATCCTCTTATACCATTTTCTAAAAATTGATAAATTTGTATATCAGTAATTAAATCCAACTCAATACTTGTCAACAATAGCATAGCATCCCAACTTAGTGAAGGTGATGAAACATAATGACAAGGATCGAGACCATAATAATTCAAACTCATGGATCTAAATTTCTCAAAAACGTCGCAAAGTAGTAAGACATCGCATTTCAGATATAACTCGGTATATTGACCTAAGTTTTTAATACCAAAATTTTGCCACACAGTTAAAGCATGATTATAATCTTTGTTGAAGCACCTGCGTCTTCTTTCTGAGCAAAGAGTTAAGCAACGTACTTGAAGTAATTACGTCCATACTTAACGTTAATTTTAAACAGGTTTTTGTCTGTAATATTTTATTACCCTCTCAGCTGTTGTAAGAGCAATACAATTGTTCAAGACCACATTCAAGTTGCATTATTTTTAAATTCCCGTAAACTCCCGAACATGGTCCTTCGATCCGGATATAAAATAATAAGAACGAGAATTTATATTATACTTGTATATGGTTAATTTGGTGGAGTTTACGTTGGAATCAAATTTGGAGTTACGTCGCCGCCATCAAGAATGTGGGTTAAATTGCAGTCATTACGTGGTGTTTAAGATACAATTTAACATTTATCATCACCCAACACTCTATTAAGGTAATCTAATAGTATTTGGTGTAAATCACCGGACTTATAAGGTTAGTGAATTTATTGTTCCTATCGATTATTAATTACCTACTGCGTTGTGTTAACATTCGTAAATTTTTTGATAATTTGCAGTAATTAAGTAAGAAATTGTATTGTAAGGATACTGTTAGAAATTAATCTACATTATTTTTTGCTTCTTTACATTATTTAATATAGTTGTGCAGAAGAAATCGTATAGTAGCATTAATTATTATTACCTACACCAAGTACATGTTTTTAGGCTTTAATTATTATTTATTTTCTTGTTAAGTGTTTTATAGTAATTAAATTATACTATAGTAATAGCGTAATTGCAGCATAGGATGATTGTTAGTTTTTTCTGTGATTTCGTGGGTATATAATTATTGAATTAGGTAGTGTAAGTAGCTTAAATAATAAAATTATCTACTATTATTTGAATGTCGAGAAATATTGTGTAAAGTTACTTGTCACTATAATATTATTAAATTATTATTTGCCGAGTTAGTACCAACTTACTGTATAATATAGTTAGGTAGTTTTTCAGGGCATAGTATTTAGTTAGTGCATTAGATAGTCGGAGATTGTTATTGAATATTTGTAATTGTATACATTCCAGGTCGAATACTCTCGTCTTCCAGAATGACCGAAGAAAAGGAGTTGATCAAAAAACGAGGTAGTTTTAAAGGCCGTTTAACTGCTTTCATTAGTTACGTGGATTCGCTTATCACACCTTTACAAAATCATGACGCGACGGAATTGCAATTGCGTATGGGTAAGCTGGACACATTGTATAACCAATATGATGAGGTGCAGTTACGCTTAGAATGTATTGTCGACAAGCCCGACTTACAACTAACTGAGCGTTCATGCTTTGAAACTCAGTATTAGCAGCGCTAGCTAAAGCTCAAATTTTACTGAGCGATCACCATAATGCTAACTCTGAATCGGCAGGTAGTGACAAGAGTTCTCGAGTCAGTAATCATAAGTTTGTTAAGTACCTACTATACAGTTGCCAAAATTTAGTGGATCATACGAGAACTGGTTGGAGTTCGATGATACCTTCAATAGCCTTATTCACTCTAATGATGAAATCGATGAAATTAATAAATTTCATTATTTACGCGCGTCTCTCGAAGGGTCTGCTGCTGTGGTAATTCAATCATTTGAGTTTTCTGCAAGTAACTATACAGTGGCATGGAATGTCTTATGTGAGAGGTTCCACAACAAACGATTGTTAGTTCAAAATCATGTGTCAGCCTTATTTAACCTTGAAACGATTACAAGGGAGTCGTCTGTAACTTTAAAGCGCTTAATCGATTTATTAAGTAAAAACCTGAGGGCATTAGAATCGTTAGGCGAACCAGTTCAGCATTGGGACACACTTCTAATTTATATAGTTACACATAAATTGGATCAGAAAACCTACCGTGAGTGGGAGGAGTTTAAAGTTCATTTAAAAAAGGATGAATCAGTTACATTTAATATATTCCTCCAGTTTATGCGTAGCCGAGCTGTTCTACTCGAAACTTTAGAGACTTCGCGTAATGTTCACTCTGCACCGCATAGGCCGAGTCCTAAATTAAAATCTATGGTTTCGGTGCAACAATCGAATATTCATAATATAAACTCAAATAAACAATTCAAAGGTTGTTATAACTGTAACGGCGATCACAATTTAGGTAGATGTCCACAATTTCTTGCACTCAGTAATGAGGCTAGATTGAAATTATTACCAACTTACAAGATCTGTTATAATTGTTTTAAGTCAGGACATTTTGCAAACCATTGCAAAAAGCCAGGGTGTAAGATATGTAACCGCCGCCACAACACAATGATTCATGTCACTGAACCGATAGCTAGTCATAGCGTACAAAAAAAAAATAATTTCTCGCTCGAGAATGAGACGGGCACTCGGACAGGGACTCACTCGTCAATGACATCAACTGCAGGTGTGGCGACGCACACATTTATTTATTTTATTTAAAGATATGATTATTATTTCACAGATATGTATGTATATAATTTAATATTAATATTATAATATTTATTATATTTATATTTATCTATAATACAGTCACACACACACTTATATTATACTATTTCTATTTATTATAGTAAATTTTATTTAAGTATTGTATTATAGTATAATTCTCGGTGCCGGCCGGTCGAAGTACATTGGAAACAAACATTCGTTTTAATTATTATCAACACCGTGTACCTGAGTACTTTGCCTACGTCGCGATATGTTCAACGACCAGCCAGTCGCGATCTAATCGTCTGACGCGAATACTGTGCCGCTTGCGCCTACACTGACCTTTGTCCTTATATATAACAAGTATTATTTTAGTGCACATTTCCTATCTTATGTTAGTGACTTTAAACTGTACTTCCTGCTATCATCTCTTATCTATTTGTAATCTTATCTATCGCCTTCTGCTTCTTCATGTGAGACTGTTTCTATGTGTTGTGCCGTGAAATATATAACTGTCTAACCGTGATTTATTTGTTTATTCCGGCGACGGACTTACCATCAGGTACCTTATTTGCATAACCTTATCCTCCATAACTGGTGACCCCGAGCAGAACATTTAAGAAAGATGAGCAGTGACGGTAGTGACACAACGCATTCGCAAAGAAGGGCGCGGTCAACGAAAAAACGTGAGCGCGTGTCCATTGACTCGCACGATAATTCATCAGATATATTTCGTGTTGGCGTGAGAATACCACCGTTTTGGCCGGAAAAACCGACGATATGGTTTTCACAAATTGAAGGTCAGTTTAGTATATCAAGAATTACGGATGACTTGACGAAATTCCACTCCATTCTTTCGCATTTGGACCGGCAGTATGCAGTAGAGGTAGAAGATATTATTACTTCGCCTCCAGCCACGGGGAAGTACGATAAACTTAAAAATGAGCTAATCAAGCGTCTTTCTATTTCGAAAGAAAAGAAAGTGAAACAGCTCCTACAGTTGGAAGAGTTAGGTGATCGCAAGCCACCACAGTTCCTGCGTCACCTGCAACACCTCGCTGGCCCTACGATACCAGATGATTTTTTGAGGTCACTTTGGACGAGCCGCCTTCCAAGCAACCTGCAGACCATCATCGCATCCCAGATGAGCCTGTCCCTCAGCGAACTCGCTGACCTGGCAGACAGGGTCCACGATATCTCACCGGCATCGCCGCTGGTTGCAGCAACATCCAGCTCCAGAGTGGACTCCACATTAGATATTATGGCACGGCAGATCACGGAACTGACAAAACAGGTTAGTGCACTCACTACGAGACTTAACGACCGCTCTCACCCCCGCCAACGACAGACGTCACGTGGGCGAAGCCGTACGCCATCGAGAAGATCCCAGTCTAATTATAGGAAGTTTCCCAACTGCTGGTACCATCACAAATATGGTAGCAAAGTGAATAGGTGCATCCAACCATGTGACTACAGATCGGGAAACGCAACAGGCAATCTATAATGGCGACTGAAGATTGCCCGTCCCCTACTACTGGTCGCCTTTTCGTGACAGATCGCAGATCGCGAGTTCAATTCCTGGTGGACACTGGAAGCGACTTATGCGTCTTCCCTCGATCTGCGCTTCATCAACGACGTGCGAAGACGGACTACCAACTGTGTGCAGCCAACGGTTTGCCAATAAACACATATGGTTATGTTGAGATCAATCTTAATTTAGGCCTACGTAGAGACTTTGTGTGGCGCTTTACTGTAGCTGATGTAACTAAAGCTATTATAGGCGTAGATTTTTTGTCACATTTTAACCTTATTGTCGACGTTCGTAATAAGCTTTTAATTGATGCCACTACTAAATTGTTAGCTGTAGCTTCTATTGCTTCTAGCGATAGCCATGTTTTGAGTGTAAAGGTCGTGACTGGTGATTCTAAATTTCATAAAATACTTTCTGAATTTCCAGAACTGACACGACCGGCAGGCGCTCATCGCACACCCAAGCATCACACAGTACATCACATTCGTACCACGCCAGGCCCTCCAGTATCGTGTACACCACGCAGACTCGCCCCGGACAAGCTGAAAATTGCCAAGCTCGAGTTCGAGGCAATGTTGGCAAATGGAACTGCTCGACCTTCCCAGAGCCCCTAGTCGTCACCACTACACCTCGCTCCCAAAAAGGACAATGGTTGGCGACCATGCGGTGATTATCGCATGCTCAACGCCCGGACAGTGCCAGATAAGTACCCTATCCGACACATACATGACTTTGCCCACAATTTATCTGGTTGCAAAATTTTTTCAACCATAGATCTGGTGAAGGCGTATAACCAGATACCAATCTTTGAGGCAGACATTCCCAAATCTGCCATTACGACACCTTTTGGACTCTTCGAGTTCCCATATATGACGTTCGGATTGCGCGGAGCTAGTCAGACGTTCCAGAGGTTCGTTGATGAGATGACCCGTGGTCTAGATTTTTGTTACCCATACCTTGACGATTTTCTTATATTTTCACGCGATGAGTTAGATCATGAAAAGCACCTTCGTCAAGTATTTACAAGGATGAAGGATTATGGCATGCTCATCAACACCGCTAAATGCGTTTTCGGTGCATCAGAGGTAACATTTCTAGGCTACAACATCTCACAACATGGAACGAAACCTCTGGAAGGTAAAGTTCAGGCTATAAAGGAGTACCCTGTTCCTAAGACAGCCAAACAGCTTAGGAGGTTCTTGGGCATGATAAACTTTTATAGGAGGTTTATTCCCCAAGCTGCCAAAATCCAAGCACCCTTGAACGCCTTATTGACTGGCGCTGTTAAAGCATCGCATCCGGTCAATTTAAATGGAGACTCGTTGAAAGCCTTCGAAGAGTGCAAGGAAAGTTTATGCAATGCAACATTGTTGGCACATCCGGACTCAAAGGCAAAGCTAGGTCTTGTAACTGACGCTTCTGATCTTGCAATAGGTGGAGTCTTGCAACAGCAAATTGGTGGTGATTGGCAGCCCCTAGCCTTTTTCTCTCGTAAATTGAGCCCGTCGCAAAGGAAATACTCACCATACGATAGGGAGCTCCTTGCTGTTTACGAGAGCATTAAGTACTTTAGACATTGGCTAGAGGCAACACCATTCACCATCTATACCGACCATAAGCCGCTGTGCTTTGCATTTCGCGAACGAAAGGCAAATTTCATTCCACGGCAATTTAGGCATCTAGACTACATATCACAGTTCTCAACCGACATACAACACATCGCCGGGAAAGATAATGTTGTTGCTGACACGCTTTCCCGGGTTGAGCAGGTCGATGAACTGCTAAGCCCTGTAGATCTAGATGTCATTGCCAAGGCTCAAGACTCCGATCCTGAATTTGCAGATTTGTTAAGGCAGGACACTTCCTTACAAGTTCAAATAATAAAGATACCTGGTAGTCGCAATGAACTGTACTGCGACGTCAGCACAACGACTCCCAGGCCTTTAGTCCCTAAAGCCTTACGCAAGCGAATTTTTGATAGCTTGCACTCGCTAAGCCATCCCGGCGCTAACGCTAGCGCAAAACTTGTGGCAGAACGCTTTGTCTGGCCACTGATGAGGAAAGACTGTCGCGAATGAATGATGAATGAAGGCGTGTTTGGCATGTCAGCGCACAAAGGTAAATCGACACGTTTCGACGCCTTTTGATACGCTCGATTTACCTACGGCGCGATTCAAATACGTCCACTTAGACCTTATCGGACCTTTACCTCCGTCTGGTGATTATCGGTACTGTTTGACAGCTGTCGATCGCTTCACGCGATGGACTGAAGCTGTACCACTAAAGGATATCACCGCGGAATCAGTGGCTAAAGCGTTTTTATCGGGATGGATAGCGCGGTTCGGTTGCCCTACCGATATTGTTACCGATCGCGGTAGGCAATTCGAATCAGCACTATTCGCGCAGTTATCAAGGTTCATTGGCTTTAAGCACCGCAGGACTACCAGCTATCACCCTCAATGCAATGGTCTCGTCGAAAGATTTCATCGGCAATTAAAAACAGCAATCATGTGCCATGCCGATAGCAGTTGGACTGAAGCTTTGCCAATTGTGCTTCTCGGCATAAGAAGCTCTTTCAAAGAAGATCTTCAGTCTTCCTCAGCCGAGTTAGTATACGGCGAGCCATTGCGACTTCCTGGTGAATTTTTTGGCCACAAAGTTGACAAATGTACGACTGACATAACGGACTTTTCAGCCCGTATCAGATCATTTGCCAATAAGTTACAGCCAGTGCCAACTTCGCACCATGCGAAAAACAAAATCTTTATTTATAAAGATCTAACATCTTGTTCGCATATTTTCCTCAGAGAAGATAGTTTGAGAGGGGCGTTACAACCGGCATATACTGGTCCTCACGAGGTGGTTGAGAGAAATGAAAAAACTTTTAAAATCAGAGTAAAGGGCAAAGTCGTGACAGTATCGGTAGACCGACTGAAACCAGCCTACATACTGTCCCACTCAAATGACCCCACTCCAACTCCTTCTCCACCACTCAAACCAACTCCTAATCCCACACCTACTCCACTTCCAAATACCAGCCCATCGCCAACAACTGCGTGCAAAACAACTCGTTCTGGGCGCAGAGTACATTTCCCAGATTATTATCGCCCGTAGACATGGTCTCTGGAGGGGAGTTGTTCGCGCCAAACACTTTCAAGGAACGAACGCGAGAGGGCGTGCGGCTCAGTGTCATACCGGTTTGACATTCGGTCGTGCGTAAAACGCCCAAGGGCAGTCGTCTTTAATCGGTGCTGACGTGAGCACGCGGTCCATTCTGTTAGGGAACTCGGAATAATTAGGTGCGGCCCGTAAATATACGGTCTAGGATTTGTGACGCGCATTCCTACTGGAGAGCTTCCCGGGACTTATTGTGTCTGACTCAGAACCTGCATAAGTGCATTCGGCAATATTAGATAGTGCGGCCTCTGATATTCTAGAATTAACTATTGCTACGCGAAACGGTAGTGACCTTTGACCCTTTAAACTCCGTGTGCGTTTGTGCGGTAACCATTATACCCAGCGATAGTTAGTGGCTTCTGTAAGTTAGTAAGGCTGTCCAAGGGAATTTCTGTAAGCCATCACTACCATCTCTGCACAGGGAGGACGACTCACTGGCCCACGACGCAAAAGAGAAGGCCGACCTTTTAGGCTCCCTTTTTGCGTCCAACTCGACTGTTGATGACGGGGGGAACACACCGCCGACCATCCCGCGGTGTGAGTGCTCCATGCTGGATGTGCGATTCTCACAGCGCTCGGTTCGCAGAGCACTCCTCTCCCTTGACATCCACAAGTCGAGTGGGCCTGACGGAATCCCCCCAATTGTGCTGAGGACGTGTGCTCCGGAGTTGGCACAGGTTCTAACGCGTCTTTTCCGGTACTCCTACTCCCTAGGCGTAGTCCCGAAATCATGGAAGACAGCTTTTGTCCACCCGATCCCTAAAAAAGGCGACCGCTCAGATCCGTCCAACTACAGGCCTATCGCCATCACCCCTTGTTCTCCAAAATAATGGAATCCGTTGTAAACTGCCACCTCATGCGGTACCTTGAGGATCACCAGCTGATTAGTGACCGCCAGTACGGTTTTCGTCGGGGTCGATCAGCTGGTGATCTTCTGGTCTACTTAACTCATAGATGGGCGTTGGCAGTAGAGTCCAAGGGGGAGGCATTGGCCGTTAGTTTGGACATTGCGAAGGCCTTCGATCGGGTTTGGCACAAAGCGCTTCTTTCGAAGCTCCCTTCCTATGGGCTTCCCGAGAAATTATGCAATTGGATCACCAGCTTTCTTGCAGATCGGAGCATCAAGGTCGTTGTAGACGGTGCATGCTCCGACTACAAGCCTATTAACGCTGGTGTTCCACAAGGCTGCGTGCTATCACCAACGCTGTTTCTTCTGCATATCAATGATATGTTGCAAGCTGGTAGCATTCATTGCTATGCAGATGACAGCACTGGTGATGCTCTATACACCGGCCCTGCCAATATTTCTCGGGAAAACGTCACCGAGTACCGGAACAAACTTGTGTCTGAAGTCGAGTCTTTGCTGGACAAAGTCTCGGATTGGGGGCGACTAAATCTAGTCCAGTTTAATCCTCAGAAGACACAAGTTTGCGCGTTTACCGCTAAAAAGAACCCCTTTGTCGTATCTCCTCAGTTTCAAGGTACTCCCCTTGTTGCCTCAGCCAGTATCGGAATCCTCGGCGTCGACATATCGAGTAGCGTGCAGTTTCGTGGTCACTTGGAAGCGAAGGCCAAATTGGCCTCTAAAAAGCTTGGCGTGCTCAGCAGAGCGGGACAGTATTTCATGCCGGCTTAACGCCTGCAACTTTACAAGGCGCAGGTTCGGCCTCACATGGAATACTGTTCCCATCTCTGGGCTGGGGCTCCCCAGTGCCAGCTTCTTCCACTTGACCGCATCCAGCGCAGAGCGGCTCGAATTGTCGACGACCAAGTCCTTTCCGATCGGCTCGACTCATTGGCACTGCGAAGAGATGTTGCATCTCTTAGCATTTTCTTTCGCATTTACCATGGGGAGTGCTCTGAGGAATTGTTCGGATTAATCCCAGCCGCCAAATTTCACGAACGCACATCGCGGCAGAACTCCCGATACCATCCACACCATCTGGATGATTGGCGGTCCACCACTGTGCGATTTAGAAGATGTTTTCTTCCTCGCACAACTTCCTTGTGGAATAGTTTACCACCAGCGATTTTTCCGGACCGATACGACTTAGGGACCTTCAAGAAAAGAGCCTACTCCTTTTTAAAAGGCCGGTAACGCATCTGCAATTCCCCTGGTGTTGCGGTTGTTCATGGGCGGCGGTAGTCACTTACCATCAGGTGAGCCGCATGCTCGTTTGCCCCCTCTCCTATAAAAAAAAAAAAAGTAAATCGTACGATAGAGTTAATTGACTGTCAACGTGACGAAAGAAGAAAGTGACTGTGGACAACCTCGAAAGGCCCCCTCAAGTTGGAGCGGTGTCGACGCTCGGGCTGCTGCCGACGGCCAAGGTCTAGGTTCAATCACCATCAGTCACACCCAGATACACACCACATCACCATTCTTTCCCTTGCACTACACAACCACATGCGACCTGACCGACTCCGGAGGGACCAGTCGCCTTGGATAGGTAAGTAAGCTTCGTCTAATTCCTTCCGGTCGACTGGCCGTTGTATAGAACGCTCCCCCATATATTTTAGTGTACTTAGAGAGATTCCACGTGGCCACATTGAGCCCGACCTACGTCTGCTCGGGAAGTCTTCAGCTCATGGGCCCCTGAGGATCTGATCCTTTAAGGGAGCAGTCGTAGGCCGTAACAGGAGTGATGTGGCGACGCACACATTTATTTAATTTATTTAAAGATATGATTATTATTTCACAGATATGTATGTATATAATTTAATATTAATATTATAATATTTATTATATTTATATTTATCTATAATACAGTCACACACACTTATATTATACTATTTCTATTTATTATAGTAAATTTTATTTAAGTATTGTATTATAGTTAAATTCTCGGTGCCGGCCGGTCGAAGTACATTGGAAACAAACATTCCTTTTAATTATTATCAACACCGTGTACCTGAGTACTTTGCCTACGTCGCGATATGTTCAACGACCAGCCAGTCGCGATCTAATCGTCTGACGCGAATACTGTGCCGCTTGCGCCTACACTGACCTTTGTCCTTATATATAACAAGTATTATTTTAGTGCTCATTTCCTATCTTATGTTAGTGACTTTAAACTGTACTTCCTGCTATCATCTCTTATCTATTTGTAATCTTATCTATCGCCTTCTGCTTCTTCATGTGAGACTGTTTCTATGTGTTGTGCCGTGAAATATATAACTGTCTAACCGTGATTTATTTGTTTATTCCGGCGACGGACTTTTTTTTTTTTTTTTTTTATAGGATAAGGGTGACAAACGAACACACAGTCCACCTGATGGTAAGTGGTTGCTGCGGCCCATAGACATCTACATCTATCTATTACAAATTAAAATGTAGATGCGTTGTCACCCGTGAGGACTAAGATGGAATGCCTCATTTCCAGTAAAAAGGGCCTCCGGCCACCTGCACTCACCAAGCGAAACGCAGAGGTAAACCTCTACTTCACGCTGGTTTTCTGTGAGGTCGTGGTACCACCCCGGTTCGAGCCGGCCCATCCGTGCGACAGCAAAAGCTGCCGCGTGGCTCTACCACTGTTAAAATTACCATACCATACATACCTTATTTGCATAACCTTATCCTCCATACAGGCACTGATGTGAACAACGTCGCTTTATCGGCAAACGTAGCGCATCGTAGTAAACAACGAGATGTATTATTATCAACTGCTTTGATAAAATTACTTGATTGTAATAACGTCGAACACGTCGCCCGCGCAGTAATAGACTGCGGTAGTACATCTAGTTTTATAACTGAGAATATGCGCAAACGATTAAATTTAGATTTTGTCGAAATAGATAAGTCGATTTTGGGCATTAATAGCGTGCATTCTCACGTAAGCAAAAGGTGTCGTGTACATTTAAAGTCGTTAGATAATAGTTATTCCGCTAACATTAATTGTTTCATTTTGCCATCAATTACTAGCAATACCCCAGGTCGCGAATTAAGCATACGTAATCTTCAACTTCCATCGAATATTTGCTTAGCTGACCCTGCATTTTATAAGTCTGCCGATGTAGATATTTTAATCGGGGCCGATCTCTTTTGGGATTTGTTAGGGTCACAAAGAATTAAGTTAGGAAGTAATACGCCCATTCTGCATGAAACCAGGCTAGGGTGGATAGTTTCTGGTCCAATTAATGTTCATCATTCTACATTGATGTCTAATGACTTACGATGTAAATTCGCTAAGACTGATTTTTATTTTTGTGGCGATAATAAAGACGACATTCGAATCGACTTAACGCGGTTTTGGCAGCTGGAGGAAATAAGTTCCAAGTCATCTCATTATTCACCTCAGGAGAAGTTGTGTGAAGATAATTTTGTAAGCAATACGTCTTGTCTTGATGATGGGCGTTTTTGCGTTCGGTTACCTCTCAAAAAAGATACCGATCTATTAGGAGATTCATTTAAAAGAGCTACACATTGCTTGTTCTCCTTAGAGAGTAGATTAAAGGGTAAGCCTGACATCAAGCAGATGTATTATGAATTTATGTCTGAATATCAGTCACTGGGACATATGATAATTTGTGAAAGACCTAATTTAAGTAGTGGCGCGTATTTTATACCCCATCATGGCGTACTCCGTGAAAGTAGCACAACAACTAAACTTAGAGTTGTTTTTAATGCAAGTTGCCCGACGTCGTCAGGTATTTCGTTTAACGAAATACAAATGGTCGGTCCTGTTGTTCAGGACGACTTGACGTCTATTTTGTTACGTTTTAGGCAACATAAATACATTTTTTCTGCAGATGTGGAGAAAATGTACAGGTGCATAATGGTTTATCCTGATGACAGGCACCTTCAGCAGATAGTCTGGCGTAACAGTCCTAGTGAGCCTATACAGACCTCTCAATTAAATACTGTTACGTACGGTACGGCGAGTGCACCATTTCTCGCAACACGCTGCCTGAAACAACTTGGTCTACAGTGTAAAAAC